ACCCATGTCGGTATTGTCACGGTACAAGGCACGCGCAGGGTCAAGAGCAACTTGGGTGAAGTGATTGTTCACAAGGAGGAAAGGAGAGAGACTCGTAAGGCAAACTCTCGCTGGAGCTATTTTATATCGGTTTAGATGGAGACATTCATCAAACCTGCTTTCACATGATTCCCTAGTCCCTACCGCCAGGGTAGTACCTTGTTCTAGCCGAATTTTTTGGCAGACGGCGGGTCAAAGGTATGATGGGTTGCTAGTAAGTTGATTCAACTATCTAGTTCCTATGCCGTTTACTAAATGAACGCGTGCGCTGCCAAGTTGATCGTGTGTCCAGTACAAAGAAAGCGATGATGCTTCGCTGGGGTTGTCGGTGATAATGTGGTTGTGACAGCAGCGTGAATGCCGGAGTGTGAAGAAGCCACTATTCGTTGAAGTAAGGGCGGTCAAACTGGTGGCGAGATCTGAGGGCTGATGTGCCTCATCACGAGCATTGATCAGAGGCATGGTGCTAAAATGGAATAGAGGAGGACAGTCGGCTTGGCAAAATACTGAACAAGGCAAGATAGGGGCCGGGACAAGAAAATGGCAGTCTGAAAGTGTGTAGTGAGCCATTCATTAAACAAGCCTGATTGCTCATGGCAAGACACCGTCCTCGTGTTGCACTGTATATTAATACTGTATAATACGATATTCGCAAGAGCTTGCACTGCACTGCACGGTTTATGATGTTGGCTGCACTGCACTGTGTAAAAATTCAGTGAAGTGCAATATGATATAGAACACGATATTGTCTTATATTCGGCTGCACTATTTACAACACTGGGTGGGACTAGCCAGTCTGCTTTTAGCATACTGCCTTCTATGACGATAAACGCAGCCATATCCTCCTAGGAGCCCGCCCCTTCCTCAGTTGCAGGTGACAATGGTATTCCCCCTTCTGGGCATAGACATTCGTTCTTTGTACAGTATTAGCAGTGCACATCAGTACCTTTGAATTATACATACGTGTGGCATACTGGAGCAGGGTCATCACTCCCTATCTCAATTACGCCTTCGTATACTCTACTAGCTTACCGTAGTCGGTTTCTAGGTACGGTTACTATAACTCCCCTAACAGTACTGTGGCTGTAATATGTGGTGTCTCGTGAGGTCCAGATAGTTGATTTTCGACGGCTTTGGCGCGTCATTGACGGAGCATAATGCTGTTCTTGGATACTACTACGTGAAGTTCTGCGGCGGCTAGCGAAAAGATATGAGAGGCCAGATGCTGCAGACAACTTGTGTCAAGTAGATCACCACTCCACCACGGCGGCTGTGATACCCAAGCGATTAAAGTAGTTAACCAAGATCCAATAAAATCTGAGTGGCATTTATTTGAACAAATGTCCGGGAAAGGCTCAAAGCTCGCTCCCGAGACAGCTTTCGTCTGGCTTTCGGTTTCTTCTTAATAGCACCACAGCATTGGCTGTGGGCTGTATGTAGTGGATCTTTCTTGGAGCTGTCTGTATGAATGTTGATTTCTAATGTTTCTGAAGTGCGCGGGTTAGACTTGCACTGGCCTATTTCTATAGCTTGCTGACCATTTATTTCACTGTTGCAGTCCAAGTCAGGCATATCAATATCGGATGAGAAACTTGAATGTGACATTTTGAGCCTTGTTGAGTTAAGTAAGCATATTAAGTACTGCACATTCCTAGGGCTGGGCTCAGCCTAAATTATCCACACAGTCCATTAAAAGAAGCGCCGAAGTTCTGGTTAAAACTAGTTGAAGCTAGAATAAAATTAAAATTAGCGGTGGTTCAATAAACAGTGCTACAACGCCAGAACGCCTGAAAACTCTTCTACCTTCGCATTGTGAATTGCTGTCACGGACACCAACACTTAGCATTTGACGCTCGTGTGGACTTTGCCAGTGGCCTTTGTATGTGGCAATATTAATATCTAATAGGCCATACGCAAGCACCATCATTGACATACATTTTAAAGATGGTTCATTGAAGATATACAAAGGAATTCTGAAAAAGTGTCCCGCACTTTTGGCAAAATACGAATGGGCCATCAATGACAGCATCCGAGTCGATGAGACATCGTCCGCCGCTGGTCACATTTTGGTTCATTACCTATTGACGGACCAATACAATGATCAAACCACATCGTCCGAACTGAGCAAAGCAGAGAAATTGGGCGCTGCCTTGACCACCGCCCTTCAGGTATATTGTGAAAGGCCGCTAGTAAGTTGATTCAACTATCTAGTTCCTATGCTGTTTTCTATCAAGATGAAGAGGAAAGAAAGTGAATCAACTTTATGAGAGCATAACAGCACTTCTATAGCTTCGATCAATGGAAGGTTCTAGAAGCTCGGCGGCACAGCCGCCGCTCAAGCGGCTTGCCCGTTACATATATCGCTCGGCTATCAATTATCAGCTTCCACTGTTATCTGAACTTGCGAGCGAAAGGGCAAAGCAAAGTTTTTCAGAGCTTGATATTCTTAAACTATTACAAGTCATAGAATGCGAGTTTCCAGGCATCGGTTTTATTGACGATTGGATTGCCACATATCTCGCCACTCGGATCCGATCAGAATTCCAGGCCTTGACGCACGAATCAGCTACTCTACTCCTAAATGAAATCGGCCGCTCAAAGAGCTTGAATGGCATTGTGATAAAATGCATGCTTCAGCTATGGCGTGAGAAAATGCACTTGCTCAACGACGGCAGCGCCGAAGATTCTCCCTCGACTATCAGCAGTGAGTTGCTAGCCATCAGTCAGGCATTCAAAGGCCACGCTAACACGGTTTAGACGTGGACGTGTGTGAGACGTCGGCCGACCGCTCAGAGTGTTTCACTCTCGAATCTACCGAGTTTTCAGATGGCTCTGATGCGGTGTCCCTTTGAAGGTCATTTGTTTACCGTAGCGGGTACGGCTCTGGTGGGAAAGATATTGGCGAGCACGCTATTAATACCGTTTACGCCATACTTCAGCACAGGCTATCAATTGTTTGCGCCAGGTACAATCTATCATTGAGAAGTGAGTCTAGAAAACTACAGAAATACATTGTATCAACATTGCCATCAATGTAAACTTCAGCATGTTAAAGTACATCCATGCTGCTTATGCAGTCGCACCTCTGCCTTGTACCAACGATGCAGTTGCCACTGGTGGCCGCCGAACGATTCTTATCTACAAAAAGCACCCTGCGGGAGCAGAGTAACTGGTTATGTC